GTAGCGGTCATTAGGTAGTGACCTCATTATTAATTACCTTTGTCGCCCATAACATTCCTTCGCACATTTCAGTGTCCCTTGGAAATGCGGTATTACCCCACTAGACGAATTGTAATGGCCCCCGATGATAGGATTTATATTGAATTTATACTTTATTAATAAATTTTATATTATTATTTTTTGTTGTTTCATTTATCTTTAAATAAAAATTAATTAATTAATCAATCAATTAAGGGAAAGCTGCTGCGGTCATTAAAATTGTTGCGGCGAAAGTGTAGCGGTCATTAAGAGAAAGTTGTAGCGGTCATTAGCTAATGACCTCATTAGCACTAATTGCCCGCATATAACTACTGATGTATGTACAATTACCTAAATAAGTAAATATCAACTGTATTTAAATTACGAAAATAAGTACGTATATTATTGCGCTTTAGTGTAAAAAATCAGATATAATAAAAGCAGTATTTTTTCTGATAACAAAACATTTTCGTAGTATATCATACATTGTCCAATCACTAATTTCTTCCGAAAATTTACTTGTTTTTTAAATACTGTAATATTCCGGACCCCTTCACCCTGCGAAGTGACGAGTAATTTTTATTTTTCTTTTTAAAATGAAATTACGTTTCCACAAACTACGGAAAAGGCCAATATTCTTAAAAAATGTGGAGAGTCGCAAAAAAAAAAAAGTTATCAAACATCCGGTCATTCGATACGATTTCAATAGAGTGTCGAGCAATCCAGACAAAAACGACTCCAAGGCACACGTGTGTTTCTTCGAAATGCACAAATTTTCCATTGTAAATTTTATTTAAATTGTATTAATTTTGTTAATATCAGAAAGGCATAAGTTGGAATTTAGGCTTTATTAATTTAAGGTAGTTTTCAAAGACTGAACCAGGTCTTTTGTAATAAATGTAAATCGTTGCAAATTATTGTCGTCAGCGGATCAGCAACGTCTGGGTCAAAAGCCAGTTTAGGTAATTTTAATTAGCTTAATAATAAGTTCATTTTGTTGTAAACTGAACTTGGTTCTTTTGGTTGTATAAATTATTAACAAAATCAGGACTTGTCAAAGCCTTAGAGTAGGGAAAGAGTAGTACCGGAGGGGATTGCGAGAGAACAAAAAAGGGACTAGTCGATTTTCAGAGGGACTTCGATTCGAGAGATCCAAGAGTTAAGACGTAATTTCGCATTCGTCACAATTTTCCATTTTCCTAGTGAAAGTGTCCAAATCATAAATAACGTAAGTTTAGGATTTACTAATTTCCCGTACGTAATTAGAGAATAATTTAATTCATGTATCTTAATTAATTAACGCTTGTTTTATCAACGTTCTGGTAAATTTCCTCCCCCCTGGAATTATCATTGGATAATTTGATTAATGATCTATTAATAATCTTTGATTTAATTTAATCAATTTATAATAATTATTCTAATTAAATTGTTTCGACCTTTTCTCCAAAATTTAAAAGGTTTCGACAACCAAAGTTCCCCAAAACCTCTTAACCCATTAATTCGATTGCAGGCCGGCAGTTTAGGACGTTGTATCCCTGCCACTTATTTATAAATATTAGGCCGTTAAGTTCAGTCCGAATTCCTGTCTTATTGACTTAAACAACCATAACATTTTATAATTTACCCACCTGTACTAGTGAGAGAAGTACAACTACCAATTTCCGTCAATCCAATCGAAACCTATTTGCAATTTTCA